TTATCAAATTTTAAATTTTTTTTGGAAAAATTAGTTTTTAAAGTTTTTTTTTTTCCAAACATTTTATATGTAAAAAACTTATGAATATTTTTCAAAAATTTTGTCAATATTTGTCAAAAATTTGAGAATATTAAAAAAAAAAAAAAAATGTTTAATGCAAAAAAATTAAAAATGCTGCACGGGCGATCAAATACCACTAAAAGAAAGATCAGTTTGTGGGAAAAAAGGATGTAAATGTCATTTGGGTGAAGTGCTGCATGACCGCGCAATTGTCAAAGTCATGCATAGCTGTAGTGCAAAAACGCAGTTATTTACCTGTTAACTGTATTTCCAGGAATCTTCTAGGACAGCTCACTTGAGAGATAGGGCTCCTCCCAGGAAACACCCGCTCCACCTTTTTTCCCCTTTTATAGGCGTCCTCTCTCCCATTGCCCCCAGTATAAGAATATGACCGAAGGCCTAGGAGAAAACAAAGAAGAAAACCGGTAATAAAGACATCCCCCATAGGTTCGCAACATACCTGCACATAATTGTGTGATCAAACAGTAATCGGGGGGAGTTACGCTGTCCTAGAAGATTCCTGGAAATACAGTTAACAGGTAAATAACTGCGTTTTCCCGAGTCATCTTCTAGGACAGCTCACTTGAGAGGAGTAGAATAGAAATACGTACATTAGGGCGGGCACCCTGCTTGTAGGACCTTCCTGCCAAATGCCTGGTCCTTGCTGCCGATCAGATCCAGCCTGTAATGCTTAGTGAAGGTGGCGAAACTGGACCACGTTGCGGCTCTGCAGATCTGTCCGGGGGAGGCCCCCCCTTTTTCCGCCCAGGAGGCCGCAGTGGCCCTCGTGGAGTGGGCTTTTAGGCCGGGCGGTGGTGACAGGCCTGCCGACTGGTAACCTTCCGAAACTGCCTCCCTGATCCATCTGGCGATGGTGCCCTTGGAGGCACCGTCCCCCTTCCTTGGCCCCTGGAATAGGACGAAAAGCCGGGACGAGTGTCTCCATGTCTTCGTGCGTTCGATGTACGTGATCAAACACCGTCGAACGTCTAACCTGCTATAGTCTTCCGTGCTGCCCGGATCGGCCTCCAGGGAAGGTATTACTATTTCCTGAGATCTATGGAAGTGTGACGCGACCTTAGGTAGGAAGGCCGCGTCCGTGCGGAGGATGATCCTATCCAAGAAGATGGTGCAGTACGGCTCGATCACTGAAAGGGCATGCAACTCGCTGACCCTGCGGGCAGAAACTAGTGCCGTGAGGAGGATGGTTTTAAGCGTCAAAAACCTGAGCGAACACTCATCCAGCGGTTCGAAGGGCCCCCGCTGAAAGCTCTTCAGGACTGTGCCCAGGTCCCATGTTGGCAGTTTTGGCAAGGACGGGGCACGGCGCCTGGAGATAGCCTTCAGGAATCTGATTACCAAGGGGTCTGCCGCCAACCTCAGCTCGAGAAAGTTCGACAGAGCCGCTACCTGTACTTTGAGGGTATTGGCGGCCAGATTCTTATCCGCACCGGCTTGAAGGAATTCAAGAACGGCATGCAAAATGGGCGTGCCCGGTGCTGCGTTTCTGACCTTCCAGGCGGAAAACTTCTTCCAGACCTTGTCGTACAAGGCGTTCGTCGACCTCTTTCCGGCCCTCCAAGAGGGTGGCGACCACTCTTGCCGACAGCCCCATTTCCGCTAGCCGGTCCCGCTCAGAAGCCACGCCGCTAAGGACAGCCTTTCTGGATGAGGATGCATCACCCTCCCCTGGGTGAGTAAATCGCGTGTGGGTGGCATCATCCAAGGGTCCGCTAAACTGAGCTCCTTCAACCGGGAGAACCAAGATCTCTTGGGCCAGAATGGTGCGATCAGAACAACTGTGGTTTGAGACAACTGGATCTTCTGTATCACCTGCGGCAGTAGTCTGAATGGAGGGAAGGCATAAAAAGGAGGTCTCCTTCCCACTGCTGGGCTAGCGCATCTATCCCCTCGCTTTTGGGGTCCCTCTGCAGGCAGAAGTACCTTTCCCGCTTTGTGTTCTGGCCGTTGGCAAATAGATCGATAGAGGGGGAGCCCCACCTGGCGCAAATCTGATCGAACGCTGACTGGCTGAGGCACCATTCTGTCTGGCTGACCTCTTCGGCTTCGGCTCAGCTGATCCGCCAATTGGTTCAGGTCCCCTTTCAGATGTACTGCCGTGATGAACTCCAGGTTTTCCTCCGCCCAGCTCAGGAGGGATCCGGCCAACTCCATCAGCCTTGGGGACCTTGTGCCTCCCTGCCTGTTCAAATATGCCACTGCAGTGGTATTGTCGGAGAGAACCTGGACACCTCTCCCCCTTATCTTTTCCTGAAAGGTCGTAAGTGCCTTGAAAACTGCCAACAGCTCCCTGTAATTTGACGACCTGCTGGAGTCCACTGCACCCCACGTGCCCTGGGCGAGGCCGTCTTCCATATGAGAGTTGCCAAAGGCCCTTACCTTACTGCAGGCCTCCCCCGCTCCTGACAGATCTGCCTCCATGCTGCCGCAGACTCTGCCTCGGTGCGGCGGTTTTTTCAGGGGCTGGTGGGCTCCGCCCCCCCCCTGCGATCCCCCCTCGCCGACCTCCCTCTCACGGCCGCCGGTGGAGAAGCGGCCGTGGCACGGGTTCCTTCCACGGTCCGCCGCCCATTTCCAAGATGGCGGCGGCCGTTCCCTGCTCCTGCGCCGGAAGTGACGACACCCGGCGCCCGGAAGTGACGCGATCGCAGCGTCCAGACCTCCGCAGCCGAGCCTCCTGGCCATGCTGCCGGGATCCCAGGAGCAGGTAAGACTTACCTGAAACCCCGCAGGGAAAGGCACCAATGCCTCGGTCGGCGGAGCGGGCTCTACCCCCCTGGAGAGCCCCGCTGGGACCATCTGGGGCCGACGCCCCCACCCTACAACGGGCATTCCCCGAGTGGAAACTGGCTGAAAGGTCCCCCCCCTCACAAGGCCCCTGCCTCGCTTGGAGGAAGGGGGGGCCTCAGCCAGGGACCCTCTGTACTCCGCCAGAGAGCCCAGATAAAAACAAAAAATGGGCGTAGCTCCTTCCTGGCCGGAGGAAACACTAAAACTGGGGGCAATGGGAGAGAGGACGCCTATAAAAGGGGAAAAAAAGGGGAAAAAAGGTGGGGAGCGGGTGTTTCCTGGGAGGAGCCCTATCTCTCAAGTGAGCTGTCCTAGAAGATGACTCGGGAAAAATAGCCTGGGCAGGGAGGGGGAAAATCCTCCGGGGGGCAATGTTTTTTTTCCTCTTTGAAAGGACAGAGAGATATAATGTATCCCCTTTATACTGCCACAGCATTTACCACAGTCCTCTTAGAATACACCCAATGATAGTGTCTCCCGTTACACTGCACCCAATCATAGTGCCTCTCAATACACTGCACCCAATCATAGTGCCTCTCGTTACACTGCACCCAATCATAGTGCCTCTCGTTACACTGTACCCAATCACAGTGCCTCCCGTTACACTGCACCCAATCATAGTGCCTCCCGTTACACTGCACCCAATCATAGTGCCCCTCGTTATACTGCACCCAATCATAGTGCCCCTCGGTTTACTGAACCCAATCATAGTACCCCTCGTTATACTGCACCCAATCATAGTCCCCCTCAATACACTGCACCCAATCGTAGCCCCAGGCTCCAAGCACCTAATCATAGCGCCAAACATTACACTCCACCCAATCATAACTCCCTCTTATTAGCCTGCGGCCAATCATAGCCTTCTCACAACTACACTGCGCCCGAACCACGACGCAGCAAAAACAGGCGGGAGGAGAGGAAGATCGTCTGTGGGCGGGACTTTTATCCCCTCCTAGAGGTAGGAGCAGCTGCCGTGGTAGGCGGGACGCGCTAAGCAGTGTGGGAGGAAGGCCGCAGCCGCCATTTTGTTGGTCGGGTGGTGAGAGGAGAGCTCCGGTGTTTGCCATGTTGTCCGCCGCGCAGCTGCTGGACGAGTTGATGGGCCGGGACCGGAACCTGGCACCGGATGAGAAGAGGAGCAACGTGCGCTGGGATGACGAGAATGTGAGTGTGTGCGACCCCCGGGCCTGAACGGTGGGATGTGAGCGGCCCTCTGGGCGGCCTGTGCTCTGTACTTCGGGGGGGGCGGTCCCTGTGGTAGATGTGAGGAGACGGCTCTTGTGGGGGGGGAGGGGGGTGTCACGTGGTCTGTGTGAGAGGGATAATACGGGGTCACCATGGTAGTGTGGACTGTACAGGGAGGTGTGTCTTGCTAGAGCCCCGCCTCCTTATGGGTTGCCTGGTGGGAGGTGAGATTTGTGAGGCTCCTCCCATTCATAATCAGTAGTAGGAAATTATTTGTGATTGAGGCTCCTCCCTTTTGTGGGTGTGACCTGTCATTGTTAGATCTCCTCCCTTTCCTGTTAAAAGCCTTGTAAAATATATTCCCAACCCATGTACAGAGGAGGCGGGGCGCGCTCTGTATATGGAGGGGGGAGGCGGGGCGCGCTCTGTATACGGAGGGGGGAGGCGGGGGCGCGCTCTGTATATGGAGGGGGAGGCGGGGCGCGCTCTGTATACGGAGGGGGGAGGCGGGGCGCGCTCTGTATACGGAGGGGGGAGGCGGGGCGCGCTCTGTATACGGAGGGGGGAGGCGGGGCGCGCTCTGTATACGGAGGGGGGGAGGCGGGGGCGCTCTGTATACGGAGGGGGAGGCGGGGCGCGCTCTGTATACGGAGGGGGGAGGCGGGGCGCGCTCTGTATACGGAGGGGGGAGGCGGGGCGCGCTCTGTATACGGAGGGGGGAGGCGGGGCGCGCTCTGTATACGGAGGGGGGAGGCGGGGCGCGCTCTGTATATGGGGGGCAGGCGCTCTGTATACAAGGGTGGCGTGCACCCTGCATATAGAGGGCTGCATGGGGGAGGCGGTGTGCACTCTATATACAGAGGGGCGCACAGCTGCTGCACCTGAAACATCGCATCCTCTGCCTGCTGTCATTGGCTGCCCCAACTCTTTAGCCATGGCACCAGCCAATCACAAATCACTTTTCTGAACTGGAGAGGGCGGGCAAAAGTTTGTCTGTGCACCCCCTTTATTAGTGAATACTCGGTAAACAGCCAATGGTTATAATGTGGCAGCGAGTGGTTAGCATCTCTGCCTGGCAGTACTCGGGTTGTTGGTTTGAATCCCAACCACGGCACCACCTGCCTGGAGTTTGCATGTTCTCTCTGTGCCTGTGTGGGTTTCCTCCTACACTCCATAGACATGCTGGTAGGTGAATTGGATCCTGTCTATATTGTCCCTAGTATGTGTATGTATGAATGTGAGTTAGGGACCTTAGATTGTACACCCCTTGAGGGTTATGGACTGATGTGATTGTACAATGTGTGTGTGAAGTGCTGCGTAAACTGACGGCACTATATACGTACCTAAAATAAAAATAAGGAGCCATGACTGTACCTCGGCTCTGTGATCAGCAGACGGGAATTTCCTGGCTGCGCCGACTGCTTCACCACCCAAAGTTCCATCCGTCGCTCCTTGGGGTGGATTAAAGTCATAAATGTCACACAAAGGAGACCGGTTCATCTCCCCTAATGACACATGATGTCTGTGTGTGAGCACCTGTCATGTCTCGTCCACCCGCTTGTAGGGGTTCTGCACGGTGCCAACATTTACCGTTCTTCCAGTACCATTCCAGTGATCCCATAGAGATCAGTGAAGGAAAGATGGCCTCCACTCATCTCTATGCCCTTGGAGGACCGGAGCGATGCCATTACGTCACTTCTGGTTCCGGTGCCATGTAAACAAGTCCAATTTTTGTTTTTTTTTTCAGTTTTTTTTTTTTTTAAAGCACTAGATCAATGTTTTTTGTTTTGTGTGTTTTTTTTTTTTTTTTTTTTTTTTTTTATATCCAATTTACATTGTATAGCAGAGATGTGGCCCCAGATCTCTCCATAAAGAGTACCTGTCACTAATTATTTCTATCACAGGGGATGTTTGCATTTCTTGTGATAACAATCAAAGTGATTAAATTTTTTTTAAAGGGACAGTGCAAAAAGAGTAATATAATTAAAAAAAGATTTTTTAATACTGTGCCCGTGCTTGTGTGCAGTGAACGCATACATAGACCACGCCCACATATGTAAATAGTGTTCAAACCACACGTGAGGTGTGACTCTGCGAACCTCAGGAGCGACAGCAATGATTCCAGCTCTAGTCGTCCTCTGTAGCTTTAAACTGGTAACCTGTAGAAATTTTTAAAGCGTCACCCATGGAGATTATCACCAGCACACCGAGGATCACCAATACGGGTCCAACAGTTTTAATGAACGATCACATAGTTACAGCAAGGCAGCGTTTTGGAGTCTTGGAGGACCCCTTCATCAGTCATGTGACCTGATAAAGGGGCGCAGCGAGACTCCGTTACAGCAAGGCAACGTTTCGATGGGATCGTTCCTTAAAACTTTTGGACCCATATTGGTGATCCTCGGTGTGCTGGTGACATTCTTCCTTGCTGATTCAGTTCAGTTCCAGCCAACAATCGCTGCAGCACCCACTTATACACACAGGCATTTTTACTGCAGGAACGTGTGCGTTATACTCTTGCACCCATGGAGATTAAGTGCCATAGTTTGGCGCCATTCCACAAGCGTGCGCAAATTGAAAGCATGACATGTTGGGTATCTGTTTACTCGCCGTAACATCATCATTCGAATTTTACAAATAAAACTGGGGTATATGTTGTGGGTTGTTTTGGTTTTTTTTGTTCATTAAAGTGTTTTTTGTTTTTTTTCCCCCAAAAATTTTTAAAAATATATAGTTTTAAAAACTGTCCATTTCGGTTTTGGCACCAGAATTTTTATTTTGGTGCACCACTGATAACCGCTGTCAGGTTGTTGGTTTTTTTTTTTGCCTTCTGTTTCCCATTGGTGAGATTTCCCTTCACTTCCTGTCCCATATCAAAAACAGGAAGTAAAGGAAATCCCTCCAAAGTGAGTTTGTCGCCATTGGACGATTTCTCCTCTATCGCTCTATTAGTGTCCGCTCAAAATTTGGGATTTTTTTTTTTTTTACTTTCGATGATGGCAGTAAACAGGACAAATTCAGAGGCCGAATGTCGCTAAGAAGGGGCACAAACAACAATAAAAACCTGACAGGTGTTCTAATCCCTCTCCACTCTGTCCAAAATGAAATAAAATGCTTTGCTTTTAGCTGCACTTTAACCCCTTGATGCCGAGCGCACGCAAATATGCATCCTCTCAGAGTCTGGGTTCTAACACCGAGCGCCTGCATATATTATTAAAAAATTACACAACGCGCGCCCTGCACACTCCCAGCACAAATGTGTGGCCTCTCAGCGTCTGGGCCTTGACGCCAAGTGGCCGCACATTTGCGTGCAATTAAAAAAAAAAAAAGCATATGTGCTGAGAGCACGCGCCCTCCCAGCACTTATGTCCGTGACTCCCGGAAAGGTCCTGATCTCCCCTTGCGATTGGGACCTTTTCCGATCATGTGATGGCGAATCACAGCGGTCACATGACCCTAAAACTCCGGCTTCTGAAACTCTTAAAGGGCTGGGAGGCGCCGACGTGAAGAGGTTAAAACTAGAATCAGTATGTGGGATTTGTACAGCTTTTTCAGATTGATATTGTAGAACTAATGGGAATTCATTGTGGATATGAATATCAGTTTTCATGTTGACCGTGGATTCATTGTAACTGTTTTTTTTTTTTTTTTGTTTCCTTTTTTTTTTTTTCTCCTTGGCAGGTGTGCAAATATTATCTGTGTGAATTCTGTCCGGCAGAACTGTTCACAAACACAAGATCAGACTTAGGTAGGTAACCGTGTCCGGAATGTAGTGCGACGACCTGCCTAAATGGATACCAATTGAGAGTGTTGTTTAGGTGTGACTTCATATAGTTTTTGGTAAATATAAAGGAAATATAATAATGTATGGTAAGCTTTATAGGTTGTGTTTGCGGGTGGGGTGGGGCGGTTTGAGGGGGGGAGTGAAGATTAACTTTTTTGAACCTGCTCTTACTTCCTCAATTCCAACCTAGGCAAGGATGATGCCATGTCCCCTCCCTCTCAGTCCTGCAACCTCCTTGGACATGTTACTTGCCTCTGGAGGCTGCAGGATCATTCAGAGTGCTGCGTGAGCTCGTTCATGCGCGGGGGGGGGGGGGGTTGGCGTTTGACTTCCTCAGGAGGCCATATCCATGGTAGTGCCAGGGGCATATCTACCACAAGGCAAACTGGGCGTTTGCCTAGGGAGGCAATTTTTAGTGGGTAGCACCGCCCCCCAGAAGAAGGGACCTTTTGAGCAGTGGCAGACAGAGCCATGCAGGGCCGCCATCAGAGGGGTACCTTCGGTACTCTTGCAGTGGCCCGGACAGCAGGAGGATCGATGTGGGGGACGGCAGTTGCAGAGCGATGCTTGTGTACCTCTCCCTTCAGTAGCTGACGAGCTGGGACCAGGGAGCAGCCTAGAGGCGGAGATGAAAGAACCCGGAGGAGGTGAGCTGCGTTGTCTTCTGTGGGATCTCCCTCCCTACACTGACAGATCAGATCATATATGACTGCACACGCCTCCTCCGGGAGATCAGCCCTTGGGGGGGAGAGAGAGAGAGAGAGAGGTGTGTGTGTGTCCATACGATCTGAGGAGGGGGGAGAGAGAGAATCATTTATACATACACACTTATTGACTTTCTTGCTCTGTCATTGGGGGGGCCCCAAATGTTTGTTGCCTAGGGCAGCACAAAGTCTAAATACACCACTGCCTGCAGCAGTAAGAAGAACCAGCTACAGGAGGCCAGAGTCGCACTTCAGGTACTGGTAAGTATCTGATTTTTTTTTTCTTTTTTTTTTTTTTTTTTTTTTTTTTTTTTTTTAGTACTGCTGGTTCACTCCCATCCCCAGCCTGTAACTGATTTACATGTTTTATTGGGGAGAGGGGTAGTGAGTGCCAGTTTTTATCGGTACCTGCTCCCACTTCCACAATTCTTAATCTCTTGGCGCTGGCCGAACGCAAATGTGCGGCCTCCCGGCTTCTGGGCCTAGACGCCGAGCGGCCGCACATTTGTGTTTCTATTAAAAAAAGACGCGCTGAAAGCGCGCACCCTGCGTGTTCCCAGCACACGTGGCTGGTACTCATGGAAAGGTCCCGATCTCCTCTTTCGATCGGGACCTTTCCCGATCGTGTGACCACCGTGACTCTAAGTCCCCGCCCCTCCTGGCTTCTGAAACCCTTAAAGGGCCAGGAGGTGCCAGCGCCAAGGGGTTAACATAGGCGAGGGTGATGCCCCTTGCACACAGCACCAGAATCCATTGTGCTTCTATTCCTGGGGTGTTTAAAGGTGTTCTGTACCACCATGGCCAGCAGTCTATACAAATCAGTGACAGGCTATCGGGTGCTGTTGGCTGTATAGCTATAACCAGTCATTGGAGTGGTTACATATGTACAGGAATGGATAAGCGGCCCTGGATGCCAACTCGGCTCCCCAAATTAGAGATGTTCTGTAAGCTCAGATGTGTTGGTTGTACGAGCCCCTACAGTGCAGACATGGTTGGTAGTTCTGAGGTCCGGCAAACATCGTGGAGGTGAGATGATCTTGGAGTTGAGCTTTAATAAACATGAAATGACATTTGTGTTTCTCACCTCTTTACTTTACAGGTCCGTGTGAAAAGATCCATGATGAAAACCTCCGCAAACAGTGAGTGCTGTTCTGTTTTGGTTTTCTTTCCATTGCTGCTTGTGCCGTATTGTTACTGAGGTCTGTATGCCTCTCCCCCAGGTATGAGAAGAGTTCTCGCTATATGAAGGTGGGATACGAGCGAGAGTTCCTGCGCTATCTGCAGAGCCTGCTCGCCGAGGTGGAGCGGAGGATACGGAGGGGTCACGCACGGTTAGCTCTGTCCCAAAACCAGCAAGCTTCCGTGTAAGTGGCTTTTTTTTTTTTTTTTTTCCCCCAAAAGGTGATGTAAAAATTCTCTGCAGTGCAGCGAGGTGAATCATTTCACTTAAATCTAAGAATACAAAGTGGAACTCCAGCTGAGAATCTGGGTTCAGTAGGGGGAGGGTTGCATCTTTCTCTGTGTCCCATTTTACAGGTTACTGGAGGAGAAATCTTCCCAGTGGGCACACAGACAGCTTCAAGATAAGTTCATAATATTCTAATACAAGATTTATATATTATTATTATAATACAGGATTTATATATCGCCAACAGTTTGCTCAGCGCTTTACAATATAACGGGAGACAATACAGCAACAATACAGTTCAATACAAGAGGGTTAGGAGGGCCCTGATCCCGGGAGCTTACAATCTAAGCATATGTTCCTGCAATGCTGCCCCTCTGCGACCTTCGCCGTCACCAAAGCTACCCACAGACATAGCCTTGTCTGCATTTGTTGCCGTCTCCATTCACCTCATTCCAGTGCTTGTCAACAAGCTGCGATTGGGCTGTTTATTGAAGTAAGAACTTCAGTGGCAGGCTTTGGGGGGGGGGGGTGTGTGTAAATAAGTATTTGCTCCCCTGCTGATGTTGAATGTTCGCCCCTCACAAAGCAATGCTCAGTCTAAAAATCGAATGTTCGGTGTATTGTAACACTGAGAGACAGAATAGCAACAAAAAATTCTAAAGAAATGCATGTCTAACAAATGACTGATTTGCATGTTCATGAGGGAAATAAGTATTTGATCCCCTATCATTCAGCAGGATTTCTGGCTACCAGGTGTCTTTCATACAGGTAACAAGCTGAGATTAGAAGCAGTCTCTTAAAGGGAGTGCTGCTAATCTCATGTTACCTGTATAAAAGACACTTGTCCACAGGAGCAATCAGATTCAAAACTCTCCACCATGGCAAAGACCAAAGAGCTGTCCAAGGATGTCAGGGACAAGATTGTAGACCTACACAAGGCTGGACTGGGCTACCAAACTATGGCCAAGCAGCTTGGTGAGAAGGTGACAACAGTTGGTGCAATCATTCGCAAATGGAAGAAACACAAAACAAGTGTCAGTCTCCCTAGGTCTGGTGCTCCATGCAAGATCTCGCCTCGTGGAGTGTCAGTGATCATGAGAACAGTGAGGAATCATCCCAGAGCTACACGTGAGGATCTTGTCAATGATCTCCAGGCAGCTGGGACCACAGTCACCAAGAAAACAATTGGTAACACACTACGCCGACAAGGACTGAAATCCTGCAGTGCCTGCAAAGTCCCTCTGCTCAAGAAAGCACATGTCCAGGCCCATCTGAAGTTTGCCACTGAACATCTGAATGATGCAGAGGAGGACTGGTGGAAAGTGTTGGGGTCAGATGAGACCAAAATCGAGCTCTTTGGCATCAACTCAACTCGCCGTGTTTGGAGGAGGAGGAATGCTGCCTATGACCCCAAGAACACCATCCCAACTGTCAAACATGGTGGTGGAAACATTCTGCTTTGGGGGTGTTTTTCTGCTAAGGGGACAGGACAACTGCACCGCATCAAAGGGACGATGGACGGGGCAATGTACCACCAAATCTTGGGTGAGGACCTTCTTCCCTCAGCCAGGGCATTGAAAATGGGTCGTGAATGGGTGTTCCAGCATGACAATGACCCAAAATACAGGGCCAAGGCAACAAAGGAGTGGCTCAAGAAGCACATTAAGGTCCTGGAGTTGCCTAGACAGTCTCCAGACCTTAATTCAATTGAAAATCTGTGGAGGAAGCTGAAAGTTCGAGTTGCCAAACATCAGCCGCCAAACATCAGCCACCAAACCTTAATGACTTGGAGAGGATCTGCCAAGAGGAGTGGGCCAAAATCCCTCCTGAGATGTGTGCAAACCTAGGGGCCAACTCCAGGAAACGTCTGACCTCTGTGATGGCCAACAAGGGATTTACCACCAAGTACTAAGTCATGTTTTGTGACGGGGATCAAATACTTATTTCCCTCATGAACATGCAGATCAGTCATCATTTGTTAGACATGCATTTCTGCTGAATTTGTTGTTGCTATTCTGTCTGTTACAATACACCGAACATTCGATTTTTAGACCGATTTATTTCTTTGTGAGGGGCAAACATTCAACATCAGCAGGGGATCAAATACTTATTTCCTTCACTGTATTTGTGTGTATGTAAAATTGGTTGCTGGTGTTAACGGATAGCTGCTTTTGGATGGCATTTGGACTCCCTCATACTGCCCTCCTCCATAAATCTTTGCTTCCTAGGAGGCAAAGCATATGTCGGCTCATTGGAGTAGTATTACCCTCTGGGGCTCCTTTAATCCTTACGTTTCCTCTGCAGTCGCCCACCTTGGGGGATATTTGGTTTCTGGTTTGTAGCATGCTTCAGTTGCCACATATATGCTTTTATTCTCCTAATGAAGCAGATCAGAGAAACCTGTTGTTGGCCCACCCCTGTTCAGTGAATCAGTTATTGTTACCAGAGGACACACTGTTGTATCTTCATCAACAATGGTTATTTACATTTGTATATTACATGGTTACAAATAACAGGTAAGCTGCAGGTGATTGGGGGTTATTATAAAGGTAAAAGAAAAATCCATGTTGAATGGTTGTGTATGGACCTTATTTTGCGCTGCCCGCATGTTTACATTTGTTTTAGTCTAGGTTCACACCTGTGTTTTTTTTTCCGCTTCATTTTACAGAAACACACAGCAGTCCATTTAACATGATTTCCTATGGGACAGGTTCACATCTCTGCGTTTTTCACCCGGTGCGTTTTTGGAAAGGGTCAGGGACTTATTTAAATGCAAAATATTGCGTTTTTGGTTCTATAGACTTCAGTGGAGACGCTGCAGATAAGCACATAGTGCGTTTTTTTTTTTTTTGTTGTTTTTTTTTTTTATCTGCTCAGCAACAAGTTAAAAAAAAAAAAAAAACCCCGCAAAACACATTACGTGCATGTGCAAAAATGCAATGCAGAAATGGACCAACGTTAATATGCGTACAGCGTAGAAGAACTCTGTTGGAATACAAGTACCCATGTCGCTCAAAGTTTACATGCGTCCAGCATACAAACCACTTTTTAACCGGGATCTTGCTGCCATTTTAATGTTCTTATAGTTTTATATCTTTTTTTTTTTTTTTTTTTTCCCCATATGAAATAAAATTAACTTCTATACACGATCTAGTATTGGCACCTTTAAACATCCAGATCTATGGTCATTTTTCTATTTACATGCTTTGGTGTTAGAACAGCCAGCAGTCAGAGAGTGGGGGGGGGGGGGTCTTCTTTTCAGGATTATAGGGAGCAGTAGAGTTCTGTTTGTGCTGGATGATTAAAGTGTTACTAAACCCCAGACCTTGCATTCACTATATGTGGTCTCTCACAGTACACAAAATGTGGAAATGCAATTATTTTTGTAAATATAAACTGCAAAATACCATTTCTCAGCAGTTAGAGCAGTCTTGTGACTTCTATCAGTGTCCAGCAGAGCACTGGTTAAAGCTTGTAGAAGGAGTTTTTTTTTTCATTCTCCATTGATTGTCTTATCGGGCTGCATACCCCCCTGACCCTCTGTGTGGGCAGCATTGATTGGCCCTGTGCTGATCACTTGCGCACTCCCAAGGAACAAAAAAAACTCTTGCAATACACACCAAACTGAGCATGTGCAGCTTGCCCCAAGGCTCTTCTATTAGGAGATGGCTTGGGGGACAGTAGGAGCGGAGAAGACAGGATCAAATTGCCTTTTTTACACAATGCAGAGGGTTAACCCCTCAGGTTCCACAGTGAGTATAACAAGCATGCTGTACTGCATATACAGACTGATTGTACTGCTGGGGGTTTTACACTTTAAGATGATCTATAATGGCTGGTCATTTGTGTTACACTCTGACAAATGTGTATTCTGTTCTAAAGGACTCAAAGGTTGTGTAAATTTTGTTCTGAGTCATCTTTTCTGCCTGAAACATCTTTGTGTTTTTGTTTTTTTATCAGTCTGTTGGTCCAGCCGGAAAGAATGAGGAGAAGATTCAGGTCCTGACAGATAAAATCGAGGGACTGTTACAGCAGGTGAGATGAGAAAATAATTAGAATGTAATGCAAATGGTAATAGGCTGCTAGGCCTGGGCATCGTCTCAGGGGAGCCCTGCTCCTCCATACCCAAAAATGCCAGCTGAGGGCGTGGCAAAGAAACTGAGATGGATGCAGGTAAGGTAAGTATATTGGAGTTGTGGAATACCCTTTTCAGGAGCACTGTCCCTTTACCCTGCATGACTACTTAATGATTACTAATACTTTAACCACTTAACCTTCAGAAGGTTTTACCCACTTCATGATCAAGGTATTGTTTGCTGTTCAGTGCTGCACTACTTTAACTGGCAACTACACGGCCCTACAACACTACCCAAATATCTTTTTTGTTTCACACAAATAGAGCTTTCTTTTGGTGGCATTTGATCACCACTGGGTTTTTTTATCTAGAAAAGAAAAAACTTATTTTCTATCTTCTGTTATAAAACATATCCAATAAAATCAAATTTCTTCATAAATTTAGGCCAAAATGTATTCTGCTGCATGCCTTTGAAAAAAAAAAAACAAATTGCGTTTTTGGGGACACTATACTATTGGGGACACTAGTATAGTTCTGTTTTGTAATAAAGATACTGATCAATACAGACCCTATACTGGTATTGGCGGTGATCAGCCACTTAGTGTGACTGTTTGGCGGGCAATCTAGCACTAACTGACACTGGCTGGGAGGGGAGCTAATTGACACGGCTGTTGATAGTGACACTAATACAGTATTCAGTGATAACACTGTACTAAAGGCTTCCTTTTTGTTTTTACCTTTCTTTTGGTGGTATTTGATCACCACTGGGTTTTTTATTATATAAAAACGAAAGACAGAAAATTTTGGGGGGGATGTATTTTTTTTTACTTTCTGCCATAAAACCTATCTAGTAGAAAAAAAAAAAAAATAATTTCTTCATAAATTTAGGCCAAAATGTATTCTGCTACATGTCCTTTTTGAATAAAAAAAAAAGTCCCAAAAAGTGTATAATAATTTGGCTTGTTTGAAAGTTATAATAGTGACAAATTTTGGTAGATTTACTGGAATTTTTGCAGCTATAGACGCTATACTGTAATAGTGGTGATCTGCGACCTGTAGTGGGACTGTGATAAGGTGGCGGACAATCTGCCGCTAACACACACTACCTGGGAGGGTCACTAACTGCCGCTGACGACACTGCCCTAGATGTTAACCCCTTCACTGCCAGTGTCAGTACAATCATGGGGTTAACTGTGTGCCTAACAATGTGTAATGTGTGCTGCTTTTACTTTCTGATATGGCTGTTTTTTTTTTTTTTGTTGGGTTTTTTTGGGGTTTTTTCCTCCCTGGTTTTCAGGGAAAAGAAACAGCCAAATTGCGGTTCCCCGTACAGTTTTCTGTGTTTACAAAAAACACAGAACTCTGTGTGCAATTGGACAACGCTGATTTCAGCCAAAATCATTGGCTGAAATCTGCTGCCAAACTTGTGCTGTGTCCAGTCGCAGCAGAGGGCACACACATTTCGCACCTCGGACCTGGCAGAAGGCCATCACGTACATGACTCCTTACAATCTCTGGCTTTCGCTCACTACACTCCACTGAAACTGCCCTACTAAAACACACTAATTATCTTCTAACTGCTAAAACCAATGGTCACTACTCCGTACTCCTCCCAGCCCATGGCCGCTGCTCCGTACTCATCCCAGCCCATGGCCGCTACTCCGTACTCCGTACTCCTCCCAGCCCATGGCCGCTGCTCCGTACTCCTCCCAGCCCATGGCCGCTGCTCCGTACTCCTCCCAGCCCATGGCCGCTGCTCCGTACTCATCCCAGCCCATGGCCGCTACTCCGTACTCATCCCAGCCCATGGCCGCTACTCCGTACTCATCCCAGCCCATGGCCGCTACTCCGTACTCATCCCAGCCCATGGCCGCTACTCCGTACTCATCCCAGCCCATGGCCGCTACTCCGTACTCATCCCAGCCCATGGCCGCTACTCCGTACTCATCCCAGCCCATGGCCGCTACTCCGTACTCATCCCAGCCCATGGCCGCTACTCCGTACTCATCCCAGCCCATGGCCGCTACTCCGTACTCATCCCAGCCCATGGCCGCTACTCCGTACTCATCCCAGCCCATGGCCGCTACTCCGTACTCATCCCAGCCCATGGCCGCTACTCCGTACTCATCCCAGCCCATGGCCGCTACTCCGTACTCATCCCAGCCCAATGCCCAAAAAAAACTCTCTTGGCCTCTTAGACTCTTACCATCTCCTGGTATCAGCCTCTTGCAGTCCCTCTACAGCAGAGCTTAGACTGAGAGGGAGAAGTGGCACAAGGAGCCAATCAATTGTGCTGCAGTGCTCAAGTGCATCATACTGATAGGAGGAGAGAAAGCAATCATCGTACTGATGGCAGAAGAGAACAGAGTGACAGCTATGAGCCCATCAGTCTGCTGCTTCTCCTGTCCTGATATAAAGGGTGGGTAAGTGAGCGCAAACAGATCAGATGAGCAGCTAACATACAGGGTAAACCTCAATACCTTGGAATAAAAACTATGAATGGGGTATGTAGCGCTAGAGAACAGATGACAAGCACGGGGATTGTTACAATATGAAGTAACCATACAGTAGTTCATATAATGATTCATATATAACGGTCAGAAGCAAAACGGAGATGATCCAATGCTGCTCCAGATCACATTCGGTGAGATAAGAGAAAATAGTGAGGTTGTGCGCTTACCACAAGTACACACAATATGAGCATTGTATGCAATTCAACGGCAACCGGGCATCATGGTCTGGTCAGTAGCCTGGGCACCCTCTGGTCATATCCGAACATCTGGGTCACAGGTACACCGCTATCCAGGCCCCCTCTGGCTTTCAAATCCAAAACGCCACATCGACAAAATATACATCCAGGCTCAAATATATAGGCTCCCTGGTGGTTAGTGGTTCATTCAACATGCACTGCCTACAAATCCAGGTCCACTAGATAAAACCCTGGTGGCTAGTGGTATCATGAGTATAAAGCCATAGCGTATAATGGATGATAATGCAAATATACTCATCCAGGTCTGGTGAGGTGGTTCCCTGGTGGCTAGTGGGTCCTCAGTAGCAAAAGGCGTCAGTAGGGTGGATCCCCTAAACATGTTTCGAGCTAAAGCTCGTTTTCAAAGGGCTGTCCTGGCACAGGCTGGGGGAGATGGGAAGAATTGCATGTAATGCTGAGAGCTGTAGCATAGACAAATCGAGTCTCCTGGTATGCCAGACACTGTGCTCTGTGGCAGAGCTGTGTAAATATGGATGGACAGAATTACAGATCGTTTGTTGGGTAAAATGTATGCATTACAATTATGTATTTAGCTGTTTGCCTCGTTCCTCCTTTTTTAACGTTGTTTTTTTTTTTTTTCTTATTTCTGAGCAGATTGAGGAGCTGGGCTCGGAGGGGAAGGTGGAGGAAGCGCAGGGAATGATGAAACTTGTAGAACAGTTGAAAGAAGAGCGAGAACTTCTCAAGTCTACCACATCGGTGAGTTTTACCCAACCACTCCGTTGTCTGATCCGTTGAGAAGGCTGAGATGTTCTGGTCCTGTAGGATTGTCAGTATTTTGCCTCTTGACTGATTTCCCATTGAACCCTCCAGTCCCTCGTGGGATTTAAAAAAAAAAAAATACCTTCAGGTGTCATTCTTGGTATCGGCACTTATCTGTTTCTGGTGCAATGCTCTACAGGTTTAAATGTTGTCAATATACAAATCCTTTGAGACTTTACCATGATCCGCATGTCTGATTGGGGGGGGGGGGGAGTGGGGTGGAAGTGTAATTTATAAATACCCTTCCCTCATCCTGATCTCCAGATTTGTGCAATCTAGTGTTTGTTGTGTTTTTTTTTTTTTTTTTTTTTTTCTTCATACATTTCTGTGAAGGGTTTCTATAGCTGTGCAGTACAAAAAAGACAGTGGCAAGAAAGATGGCTTTATTATTGTGGTGAAGCGCAACTGTGAGATCTGATTAGAGATGGTATACCATGTTCACCACTTCTTGCTCTTACTATTGTGCTGAATAACAAGTAGAAATTGCTTTGTCCTGCACAGCCTGTAAGGTGAGTGACTCCTGTAATCCTGTACAGGACAGTAGGAGGTGTGAGATCTCATCCATACAACATGCAGTGTCGCTGTGTAAAATAATAGCATCAGATTTCCAACCACCCTCTGCGATATGTGAAAGATCTGCTGGTGTATAACTGATCAATAATGAAGTGTGGGATTGTACAAAAAAAAAATAAATACACCTAATACCTACCTGCTACAGTCCTCTGCTGCTTCTTAGTAGGAGAAGTGAGCGATCATGTGACCACTGATTGCTCAGTTCTCGGGTCCGCTTTGAGCACAGAGTGGTGATTGTCAGTCAACACTCTCTCCTATGCTCCTCCAGCACTCAATGGAGAACCAGGCATGAGTGGCTGAATCAGGCTGTCAGTGGCCCGTTGAGAAGCTGAGCCAGCTGCAGTAAGGAGTTTGGGTGAATCCCAACGTCGTCAGGATCCCCCTCAGAGACCGAAGCGGGTCTGTGATGTCAGCTGACTGTAGCCCGCTGTTGACAGTTTCTGGGTCATAAGTATGCAAAAGTTAGTGCTCTCCTGTGACCCACATGAGAAGCTTTGGCCATACTTTTTCTTTTTAAAGAATTCCAGGCATAGCTGTATTGAAGTGATATTAAAGTCCTGTTGTGTGTGGGGTTTTTTTTTTTTTTTTTTTTTTAATAGCCCCAGTCCTTCAATTCTTGGGTCCCCTGCTGGCGCTCCTGGCCCCTCCCTCCTGCTGAGTGCCCCCACAGCAAGCAGCTTGCTCTAGAAGCATCCAAGCAGGCATGCTCGTGAGCCACGGCTCTGCGTGTCCATTCACACACAGCTGTGGCTCAGCCCCACCCCTACCTCTCCTTGGCTCACTGGCTGTGATTGACAGCAGCAGGAGCCAATGGCTTCTGGCCGATGCTCCTGGAAGCTGAAAAATATTGACGTAGACACCGCTACTCCAGTGATCTCAAATTGTTTCTGGGTCTTGCTCCGAGGGGCTGCACTCCTGCTCACTAACACAGGAGGTTAGCCGCTCCGCACAGGAGCCATTTAGAGAGAGCTTTTCATTTTCTGAATGAATGCAAAGCGTTCTCTGATTGGATGAGGTGGGGTGGTGACATCAAGCTCTCCACTTCATCCAAGCAGAAGCAGTGGAGGTCACTGAAGTAGTTGTTTACTTAAATGATTTCCAGCTTCCAGGGGCATTGGCCAAGTACGGTGTTTATACTGTACATAGTTACATTGGTCGCTGGTATTTTATCCTGCAGTAATGTCTCTCAGCCCTTCTCCATGTTCAGTGTTTTTTTACATTTTGAGAAGGACCGATCAGGGAAGGGCAGTATCTGAGTGAATTGGGGATATCTATCTCCTCACTGGAGTCCTCAGGAGAAATGGGAATAGCACAAAAGCTGAAACTTGTCATCAATCTCACATGATTTATTCAACATGTTTTGGCTTCTGTCAATGTCAGAGCAGATTAAAAGCGACCTAAAGGTTTAAAAAGAGATCTGTCTCTCCTAACTGAAAAAGATTTTCCTAACTTTTGCAGACAATTGAGAGTTTTGCAGCCCAGGAGAAGCAGATGGAGGTGTGCGAAGTGTGCGGTGCCTTTTTAATCGTCGGAGATGCTCAATCCCGAGTGGACGATCACCTCATGGGAAAACAGCACATGGGTTACGCCAAAATTAAGAGCACTGTGGAGGAATTAAAGGTATGTCCGTAATGATGATGATGCAAGCAGTATAATTACTCTGGCTATGCAATGTCTTCTCTTTGGGGTGTCTTATAGTGATACTTCACTTGAAAAGTGAAGTCCTGCTTGTTTGCTGCCTTGGAGGGAGGGGGGGGGGGGGGGGGGGGGGGGGTGAGAACCGTTGTGCGTTTTTTTTTTGTTTTTTCCCTGTACCCTGTCCTACTTCCGCAATCCTTGCCTAGGTGAGGATGATGCTCCTTTTATCTCTCCCCTCCTGCAGCCTCCTGGTCCAAAGAGGCTGCAGGACCAGTCAGAGTAAGGCACAAGCAAATAGCCGGCTGTGGTTCCTAAGAAGCCACAGCTAGTCCCATATCCAAGATGGTAGCACCAGGGAACTACATTGGTAAGAAGAACCTGACTTTTAAAAAGTTAGTAGCTACAGTATAGTGAGGTTCCTCTTTAACCACTTGAGCTCCAGAGGATTTACCCCCCTTAATGACCACGCCTCTTTTTGCTACTCGGCGCTGCACTAATTCAACTGATAATTGCGCGCGGTCATGCAATGCTGCACCCAAATGAAATTTACGTCCTTTTTTTCACACAAATAGAGCTTTCTTTCGGTGGTATTTGATCATCTGTGCGCTTTTTATTTTTCACGCTATAAACATAAAAAGGCCAAAAAATTTTTAAGAAAAACAATATTTTTTACTTTCAGCTATAAAAAATATATAGTAAACTCAAAGTTGGTTATAAATTTAGGCCAAAATGTATTCTGCTCCATGTTTTTTTGGTAAAAAAAAATCCAATAAGTGTATATTGATTGCTTTGTGTGGAAGTTATAGCGTCTACAAACTATGGTATAAATACTGCAATTTACGCCATTTTTCTGCTATACAGCGCTGCGCTAGTTTAACGGACAATTGCGCGGTCATGCAATACGGTACATGAATGAAATTTACATCCTTTTTTTTTTCCCCACAAATTGAGCTTTCTTTTGGTGGTATTTGATAGCGTGTGCGGTTTTTATTTTTTGCGCTATAAAAAAAAAAAAAAAAAGGCTGACAATTTTGAGGAAAAAAAAAACAATATTTTGGACTTTTTGCTATAAAACATGTCCCAGTAAAAAAAAAAAAAAATGCAAAAATCAAATTTAGTCATAAATTTCTGCCAAAACGCATTCTGCGACATGTCTTTGCTAAAAAAAAAAAACCAATACGTGTAAATTAATTGGTTTACGTGAAAGTTATAGCGTTTACAAATGGCGGGAAAGATACTGGGTGTAAGGGACCACCAGGCGGTACCACTAGCACTCCACTGGCCAGGCGTCCCCAGCGCACGGTATCTAAGCCCCAGGGTACGTGTTCACCAGAGCCCTTGATGGTGGGGATGGACTTGAAGTACCCCGAGACCAGGTCGTGGCTACTGAGCACGCCTGTCAGTGGTAGCGGTATTCGCCAGGGGCTCCCGCAGGGAAGAGCCTGATGTGAGGAGGTCGGGTGATCCCGTCGGGATGGATGGATGGCTGACCAAGTGCGGGGTCAAACGGGCCGGTCGGTAACAGTGGGGACGGAGCAGTACAAGGCAGCGGGCAGAGAGTAGTCGGGTCACACGCCAGGTCAGCATTGGAAGGTCAGATCCAAACGGGGGCATTCAGGAGAGAGGTCAGGCAAAGCAAGGGTCTGGGCAGGAGAAGGCAACAAGGTCAGGTACAATCCGTGTCAATAATTTACTTAGAACAGGTTCGCAGATACAGGATACAAGGAAAGACCAGAAGGCACTGAATGACAGCTCAGGGCCGTTTAAATATCCCGCCCTGTGCTGCCATTGGTGCCACGCACGCGCCCGCGGTCCCTACTGCGCATGCGCGAACTCCCTCGCCGCGGACGGCCAGGTCTCAGTGCCCGCATTCTGACACGGGGCGGTGCACTGTGCCTGCGCCGAGCCCGTTGCAGCGGGGATTCCTGACACTGGGATTTTTAGGGTTTTTTTTTTTTTTATACTAATAATGGCAGCGATCAGGGACTTATGGCGGCGATCAGGGACTTATGGCGGGACTGCGGCGGACGTTCTGACATTGGGGGGTACTGACTTGGGGTCACTGACATCCCCAAAAACACTAATACAGTGATCAGTGCAAAAAAAAAAAAAACTGACTGACTGTACTAATGGCACTGGGGGGAGGAAGGGGTTAACTTTATTTTGCAGGGAAGGGTTATAGGAGTGAGGGGAGTGTTTTTTACTAGGGGGCGGGGGTGTGTACTGGGCGGGACACGGCTGATCGAGAGAAACTCTTCTTTCTCGATCAGCTCATCCTCGAGCTGACAGGGAAGTGACAGACAGCACAGCTACTGCAGCTGTGCTGTCTGTCACTGTTTGCCACCGATTGCCGGAACATAGCCGCTAACAAGCGGCTGTGACCTGGCGACTGACATCTGCGGCGGTGATCCGCGGGACAAATAGGGTGGCGGCGCTTCGCGTGCGCCCCCTATTTGTTTACAAAACACATCTTAAAACGTGGTTTTGCCTGTGAGTGCCGCCCTGCCGCCGTATATGTACAGTGGCTGGGCGGCATGTAGTTCATTACTTGCCGCCCTCCCACAGTATATTTACTGCAGGCGTGCAGGACAGGGGAAGCCAGACAATGTACCTGTACTTCGCTGGTTTGGGGAGCGCGTGCATGCACTCCAGCCCAACCCATGCTGTAATTGGACACAGTATGAGTTTGACTACTGATTTCAGGCAATGATTTTTGGCTGAAATTGGCCGTAGCCAATCGCACACAGAGTTCTGTGTTTACAAAAACAGCCAGGGAGTAAAGTAAAAGCAACACACACTGCACATTGTTAGACACCCAGTTAATTGCTTGATTGCCCCTAGATGTTAACCCCTTCCCAGCCAGTGTCATTAATACAGTGTCAGTGTACAGTGTGGCTGCACGGGGCTCCGCCCACACAGTCCCTCATTCAGTCATCTGTGAATGAGACTACAAGTCCCGACAGCCTTAGTGGCTGTCAGCTTGTAGTCCTCGAACTACCACAGTGCTGTGAAGCTCTTTCATTCTTTCTGTCAGTATGTCTGCTTGCTCTTACATCCCGTATGAGCAAGCAGATATACTGACAGATCTGCAGGAGACCTGCATGGCACCAGCGATCTGCTGATTTGCTGGTGCAATGGTTTACAGGCTCCTGCAGAGAAAAAAAATAAATGCACTTTACCTGCAAAAAAAGTGAATTTTTTTTTTTTTTTCTAAAAAGACGAACTTATCCTTTTTAAAGTAGCACAGTGCTGGACAGCAGAAAATGCTCTGGCCATGAAGGGGGTTAAACATTCCGGAGCCAAGGTGGTTAAGTTTAATGAAGGACAACTGAAAAGTAGTGTTTAGTTTATTTACAAGTAGGTATATACATCAATTGTAATTATAAGGGAAAGGAGAGCGGGTAAAGTACGCAAGGGCGGCAGGCAAAAGGGAAGAACTTTACTTTCTAGCATAATTGTTGCATTAGAAATGTTTTTATTTCACAACATGTAATAATGTATATTTTTTGTTTTCCAAAGGAAAAACTAAGAAAAAAATCAGTAGAGCCTGATCGAGAAGATCGGTTAAGGAAAGAACGAGACGACAAAGACAAGGAAAGAGAGCGAGAGAGGGAAGAGAAGGAAAAGAAGAGGAGACGAGATGAGGAGGAGAAAGAGAAGGAGAAAGAAAAGGAGAGGACCCGTGACCGAGAGAAGCGTAAAAGAAGCCGTTCCCGTAGCCGAAATTCCAGCAAAACCTCAGACAGACGAGGCAGCCGGTCTCGTGACCACAAGAGGTCCCGGAGTGGGGAGAGGAAGAGAAGCAGGTACACTGGGGGGGGGGGGGGGGGGGGTGATGATATACAAGTTTTTGGTTAAATTTTAGACATTCTGCCAAGGCACCCGTGAATAATCCTCTCTCTAGTTGAGAGAGGCTGTTCTATGGGAATGTTTGACCATTCTTCCAGAAGCACATTTGTGATGTCGGGGGAGGAGGCCTGGCTCGCAGTCTCCGCTCTAATTCATCCCAAAGGTGTTCTATGGGGTTGAGGTCAGGACTCTGTGCAGGACAGTCAAGTTCCTCCACCCCAAACTGGCTCCTCCATGTCTTTATGGACCTTGCTTTGTGCACTGGTGTGCAGTCATGTTGGAACAGGAAGGGGCCATCCCCAAACTCTTCCCACAATGTTGGGAGCATGAAATTGTCCAAAATGTCCTGGTATGCTGACGCCTTAAGAGTTCCCTTCGCTGGAACTAGGGGGCCAAGCCCAACCCCTGAAAAACAACCCTACACCATAATCCCCCCTCCACCAAACTTTACACTTGGCACAATGCAGTCAGGCAAGTACCGTTCTCCTGGCAACCGCCAAACCCAAACATGTCCATTGGATTGCCAGACAGAGAAGCGTGATTGGTCACTCCAGAGAACATGTCTCCACTGCTCTAGAGTCCAGTTGCGGCGTGCTTTACAGCACTGAATTTGATGCTTTGCATTGCGCTTGGTGATGGAAGGCTTGGATGCAGCTGCTCGGCCATGGAAACCCATTCCATGAAGCTCCCAACGCACTGTTGTTGGGCTCATCTGAAGGCCACACCAAGTTTGGAGGTCTTTAGCTATTGACTCTGCAGACAGTTGGTGACTTCTGTGCGCTTCAGCATGCGCTGACCCCGCTCTGTCATTTTACAGTGGTAGGAAAGTATGGTAATAGAGGTATTCCTGTAGCTGCTTCTGTGCATCCTAGGGGTATTGTTCCTTGCACATTCTTCTATATATGCCAGGTCTTTTGTACTTTGCCGCTGCCTCTGTATACCCAGTGGGTTCACAGAGGCAGCCCTATGGGTATTCACTTTTTCTCTCGCTCTGTCTCTCTGGTATTTCCTGCAGCTGTCTGAGTACTCAAGGGACATTCTCTGTAGCTGCCTCTTTGTAACCTAGGGGTCTTCTTTGTAACCTAGGGGTCTTCTTTGTAGCTGCCTCTTTGTAACCTAGGGGTCTTCTTTGTAGCTGCCTCTTTGTAACCTAGGGGTATTTAACACTGCCTGTCCTTTTAAGTTATATGGCCTTTGTTAACTGTAGGCTCTTGCCTTCCACGCAGAAGAAGGCTCAATGAGGGATGCATCAGGGATGACCCTCTAATTGAGACAGAAGCTACCATTGTAGATTGTTGTCTTGATGGCTTATCAAATACATTTTTAATCTGTCAACAAATCTCCCAAGGGTCACTAAAGCTGAAATAAAAAGGGAAGCTCCACAGTTTCTTCTCCCACCCCCTCTATCACTGTAGTAGTATTCGTGTAGTATTTACTTCCTGGAATCCATCTGCTCTTAGCTCAGGCATGCAGGCAGGATGGGGTGCTTGGCTGAGAGAATCCCTGCGGATGTAGTGAGCGCGGGGTCCGGGGAGGGCGGATGTAGTGGGCGCGGGGTCCTTGGGGAGGGCGGATGTAGTGGACGCGGGGTCCTTGGGGAGGGCGGATGTAGTGGGCGCGGGGTCCTTCGGGAGGGCGGATGTAGTGGGCGCGGGGTCCTTGGGGAGGGCGGATGTAGTGGGCGCGGGGTCCTTGGGGAGGGCGGATGTAGTGGGCGCGCGGGGTCCTTGGGGAGGGCGGATGTAGTGGGCGCGGGGTCCTTGGGAGGGCGGATGTAGTGGGCGCGCGGGGTCCTTGGGGAGGGCGGATGTAGTGGGCGCGGGGTCCTTGGGGAGGGCGGATGTAGTGGGCGCGGGGTCCTTGGGAGGGCGGATGTAGTGGGCGCGGGGTCCTTGGGGAGGGCGGATGTAGTGGGCGCGGGGTCCTTGGGAGGGCGGATGTAGTGGGGCGCGGGGTCCTTGGGGAGGGCGGATGTAGTGGGCGCGGGGTCCTTGGGGAGGGCGGATGATGTAGTGGGCGCGGGGTCCTCCTTGGGAGGGCGGATGTAGTGGGCGCGGGGTCCTTGGGAGGGCGGATGTAGTGGGCGCGGGGTCCGGGGGAATGTAGTGGGGTCGGTGGGGGGGGGCGGATGTAGTGGGCGTGGGGGTCCTGGGCTTGGTAAACCTCCGCTTCAATCCACACTGCGCATGTGTGAATCAGCTCTTAATGTAGATTGACAGAGTAGAGTTCCACTTTAAAATTCGAGTAAGTGTACATATGCATCTTGTATTTAGTATTTGCTTGTTTCCAGAGTTCAGCTTTAAGGAAGTTCAGTTATTTTGACAAAGGCTTATGTCATCAAACTGCAGCGTATGAAAGGATGCACAATATGCTCATAATAAACGAGTCCGTGCTTTGCTAAATTTTAAGCAACATCTTGAATCCTACAAGGAAATGATGGATAAGTGTGAAAAAAAAAACAGTTATATGAAAACTGTGGTTTAAGTCCCCATTGGTTGTAGGTAATGTGATCTCTGCCAAGTCATTGGTTACTTCATCTCAGGTAAGTGGCATTTATATTGGGATATAGATGCGGATCAGCAAGCTCTGCCTGCACAGCAGTGATACAAGATCATTTGCCTGTGATCATGAACCTGATGCCAAGGTACTGCTCACGTGTTTAACTGCTAGAGGGAACCCTGGGTGCTTTATATTCTATAATCGCACTAATCCTATTTCTCCTTCTACAGGAGTAGAGAGCGTCAGAGAAGTCGCAGTCACAATCGAACAGAAAGGAAACATCGATCACGCAGCAGAGACAAGCGCAGGTCAAAGAGCAAGGAACGCAAATCTTACAAACACAGGAGTCGGAGCCGAGACCGTGAGCGCAGATCTAAGGAGAAAGGTATGCCTTTTTTTTTTTTTTTTTTCCCGCCTAGGCCTCTAGCGGCTTGAATGACGATTAGAACTTTGGTAGGCTGACAGCTGCTGTGGCTAATTGCATGCCCCAGTCATTCCAGCGGCAAGAATCAGAGGATTCTTGCCGCTGGAATCCGGTGGCCACAGATAACCAGCTGTGTGACATTATGGCCTTCAAGATGAATTACAGGCATTTTCTGTTTGATACATTGGTACAGCTTGGACCAATGTGACTATGTATATCCCATACCTGGCCGGTGCTCCTATAAGCTAGATATTGCTGAAGTAGACACTGATACTTCAGTGATTTTTCTTTTTCCTGTTCCCCTGCTGAGTGTTTGGTCTTAGGCATTGTGAACAAAAGGAAGTCGGTCGCTTGGTGCGCACACACCATTCACAGAGAGCTTTTCACTTTTTCAATGCCTGCAAAGCATTCTGTGGATAAGGCAGAGAGCGTGACGTCACTGTCCCACCTCTGCACTTCATTCAGCCAGATTTCCAGCTTTTAGGGGCATTGACCAGATATGGTATATATACAGTTACATAGCTGGGCCAATATAACAAAATACAACATGCCCGGAAATCTTCTATAAGGAAAACTAAATGTTTGGGGTCAGTTTTATTCTAGTTATTGTTTTTAACCTCTTCACGCCGGCCGCACACATGTCTGGTACTCACGGAAAGGTCCCGGTCTCCTCTTTCGATCGGGACCTTTCCCAATCATGTGACGACGCGTCACGTGATCCCTAAACCCCGCCTCCCAGCTTCAGAAACTTTTAAAGGGCCGGGAGGCGCTGGCAAGAAGGGGTTAACCTCTATATGAATTATTTCACACATAAACATCTTAATACTTTAGTGTTAAAACCTTTTTACATTTTGCAAAGTAAGAAAGTACTGACAGGCAGCGGAGTTGGGCATGCACAGCTCAGAGTACATTTACGGCACCTGCGCTGCTGTGATGTAGTGGCTTCTGCGCGCATGTGTAGGAGTGACGTCATGCAAAAGGAAAAACACAGCAGGGCGCCAGGTCAGCCTGAATACAAACAGTGGAGCTTTTATTCAGGAGGGCACTTACATGTGAATACTCCACAGCCAGTATCCTGAAAAATGCAGTGTGCAGCAGAGGAGTGGAGCCGACAATCACTGCAGGGAGGTAGGGAGAGACCCGCTGTGATGGAAGTGTACGGCGTTCCACCATGCGCTCCCCGCCGAGTAGCTGGAGCGACTGACTGGTGCCGTGGATGACAATTGGATGGGCTGCAACGCCTCCTTTATCATGCACAGCTCAGAGTACATTTACGGCACCTGATCTGCTGTGATGTAGTGATTCCAACGCGCATGTGTAGGAGTGACATCATGACCCAGCCACCATTATAGTGAACCCGGAAGTACAACCAGAAGAAGATTGAAGAGCCTGAGCCCTGACAGCGCAACGCTGGAGGGCATCTGTTGACAGGTAAGTCTGTCCTAATGTGCTACTATACTGGGCATACTAGCACTTTGACATAAACCTGCCGGTGGACTCCCCTAGTGTTTAATTCTTTCAGTTCTGCATACACAGTGAGAATTCTCCATCCACAAGTCGTGTTTCTTGTTTTGGTGAATGCAGAAAAATAAATCACAAATTTCTTACCTTGTAGAGGTGTAATGCAGCTCTTTAAATGTGTTTCTGGATTTACATAACTGCTGCAGCCATTGCAAGGATTTTTATTTCTTTTCGCTCCAGGGCTAGTGGGAAAACGTGGAATGCTCCAAACTGGGCAGAAAATGAGCCAGGGGCAACAGTGAGGCAGTCACCTAGAGATGCAAGAAGCTGGCATAGGCGGCTGCAGTTGCGTCTACTGCCTGTCATTGTATTGTCTGCCAGAGATGCCTTTTGGGACCGCAGAGGCTCTGTAATGTTAGTTAAATGACACAATGCCAGGAGGGTGCTGGGCAACTTGGGCAGAAGCCTAGCTGCTGTGTACAGTCTGGGTCTAGAACATGGCGTCACTGGAACTTATTAAAGGATTCTTCTCCTGAATCACTTTCACCGTTGTTAGTTTAATGTGACCACTTGCCCTCCTGAGGATCCCCCCCCCCCCCCCCCCCCCCCCCAGCACCCCTCCTGACCAGGCCATTTTTTTGCGATACAGCGCAGCGTTTTTTTAATTGACAATTGCGTGGTCATGCAACACTGCACCCAATTGAAATTTACATCCTTTCTTTCCCACAAATAGAGCTTTTTTTTTTTTTTTTTTTTTTGTGCAATTAAGCGCCTGTTGCCGTTTTTTTTTTTTTTTTTGTGCTAAAAAAAAAGAGACTTTTGAGAAAAAATACATTATTTTTTACTTTTTGCTATTCAACATGTCCAGTAAAAAAAAATCAAATTTCGTCATAAATTTAAGCCAAAAATGTATTCTGCGACATGTCTTTGCTCCAAAAAAAATCCCAATAATTGTAAATTCATTTTTTTTTTTACGTGACATTTATAGCGTTTACAAATGGCGGTGCATATATACTGGGATTTTTTTATTTTTACTAGTAATGGTGGCGATCAGCGACTTTGGCATCCCCAGTGACACCAATACAGTGATCAGTGCTAATAAAAAGCATGGACACTGCACTATTGACACTGGGCAGGAAGGGGTTAATGTGGGCAATCAAAGGGTTAACTGTGTGCTGTTTTACACTGTGTGGCTTAGTGTGTGTACATTTCATTTATGTCCAATATAATAATTTCACGTTTTGAAATTAAAAGTCTATCAGTGGCTCTATTAGCTTTGAATCTGGATGGAGAGGTTCGCTTTTTGGTTTCCCTGTGCTTCCTGGGATACCTCCAAAACTAAGTGAAGCTAAAGCTGAATAAAAGCTGTAGGTGCTGTAAGCGAGTTTTGTCATAGACTTCTATGGAGGCTTCAGAATGACTTTGAAGCACCGCTAAAGCGACATTGGGTATAATGTTTGAAGCAAAGCAAAAGCAATGTGTAAACAGGACTGTAAGCTAACTATTTATTTAGTGACGGCTTTGATTGGCATTCCATGCGCTTTAGAAAAAAAAAAAAAAGCTTGTCCGAAGTCACATTTTGAAGCACGTGTCAACTAGCCCTTACAGTGTACTTTGAACCTTTTTTGGACATGTAGCACGCCAGGTGTCCTCGACTGTTTAATATCAGATACCCATTGACATGTGTAAGAGGCAATCTTCAGACCTACATGTCATTCTTGTTCTCGGTAAGCTATTTTTGTTTTTTTTATAGATTTTATTTTGCCATTCTTGTAACAAAAGCAGTCAGTGCCATAACTGAATAGATCTCCAGGATGGAACCTTAAAGTGTTACAAAACCCACAACAGTAAAAATTAGTCTGTATATGCAGTAAAGCATGCTTGTTATACTCAATAGAACCTAAGGGGTTAATCCTGTGTATTGTGTAAAAAGGCCGTTTTAATCTGGACTTCTCTGCTCCTAGCTCAAATGTCTGTGTGTCTTATCTCCCGATAAGACAGACTGAACCATAGCCTTTCTGTGCATGCTCAGTTTAGTATGTATTGCTAGAAAAGTGTTGTGTTTTGTGTGTGGTGTTTTTTTTTTTTTTTTTTTTTTTTGTTTTTTTTCTTGGGAGAGCGCATGGGATCAGCACAGGGCCAATCAGCACTGTCTAGACAGAGGTCAAGGGATTTTCATCCTAGAGCAGAAAGAAAACTCCTAAAAGCTTTAAACAGTGCTCTGCTGGACACTGGTAGAGGTCACAAGACTGCTTTATACTGCTGATGAGAAAAGGTATTTAGCAGTTTATATTTACTAAAAATAATTGCATTTCCATGTTCTGTGTACTGTGGGAGACCAGATATAGTGAATGTAGGGTTCGGAGAGAGCGGAAATAGTGAATGCAGGGTCCGGGGAGACTGGATATAGTGAATGCAGGGTCCGGGGAGACCGGCTATAGTGAATGCAGGGTCCGGGGAGACCGGCTATAGTGAATGCAGGGTCCGGGGAGACCGGCTATAGTGAATGCAGGGTCCGGGGAGACCGGCTATAGTGAATGCAGGGTCCGGTGGAGACCGGCTATAGGGAAGGCAGGGGTCCGGGGGAGACCGGCTATAGGGAAGGCAGGGGTCCGGGGGAGACCGGCTATAGGGAAGGCAGGGGTCCGGGGGAGACCGGCTATAGGGAAGGCAGGGGGGTCCGGGGGAGACCGGCTATAGTGAAGGCAGGGGTCCGGGGGAGACCGGCTATAGTGAAGGCAGGGGTCCGGGGGAGACCGGCTATAGTGAAGGCAGGGGTCCGGGGGAGACCGGCTATAGTGAAGGCAGGGGTCCGGGGGAGACCGGCTATAGTGAAGGCAGGGGTCCGGGGGAGACCGGCTATAGTGAAGGCAGGGGTCCGGGGGAGACCGGCTATAGTGAAGGCAGGGGTCCGGGGGAGACCGGCTATAGTGAAGGCAGGGGACCGGGGGAGACCGGCTATAGAGAATGCATTTCAACAAAGAACTAAAGCGTGGAGTGCATCGGAGTTCTTTAGAAGGCGATAGGTGGTAAAACCCCCTCAGTGCAGAACCCTAGTCTTTCATATGCAGAAAACACTTGAACCAAATGGCCCTAAGGTCAAGTGTCTCCTCTCCTTATGTATGTGTATCTATCCATCTAGAACAAATTTTATTACATTTTTTGGGACAACGGGCTTCATAGGTCATTCTATACAAAGGTAGGTCCACTTTAACCAAGTCAGAGCAGATCCACTAGATTGTGATTATTGTGTGTGTGTGTGTGTAGAAGTACAGAAGGCGAAGAAACGGCTTTGTAACAGTTTCCAATTCCTCATCTATCATACCCAGTAAACATTGCTCCGGGGTGCAAATATCGGGCTGGTCAAAACTGTCTGCGGTGAAAAATGTCTCACATTGTTACAATACCAAACCATACGTACACTATATTGCCCAAAGTATTGGGACTGCTGCCATTACACGCACATGTACTTTTAGTGGCATTCCAGTCTTAGTCCGTAGGGTTCAATATTGAGTTGGCCCCCCCTTTGCAGCTATAACAGCTTCAACTCTTCTGGGAAGGCCGTCCACAAGGTTTAGGAGGGTGTCTATGGGAAGGTTGGACCATTCTTCCAGAAGCACATTTGTCAGGTCAGGCACTGATGTCGGGGGAGGAGGCCTGGCTCGCAGTCTCCGCTCTAATTCATCCCAAAGGTGTTCTATGGGGTTGAGGTCAGGACTCTGCAGGCCAGTCAAGTTCCTCCACCCCAAACTGGCTCCTTCATGTCTTTATGGATTTTGCTTTTGTGCACTGGTGCGCAGTCATGTTGGAACAGGAAGGGGCCATCCCCAAACTCTTCCCACAAAGTTGGGAGCATGAAATTGTCCAAAATGTCTTGGTATGCCAACGCCTTAAGAGTTCCCTTCACTGCATCCGACGCTTTGCGTTGCACTTGGTGATGTAAGGCTTGGATGCAGCTGCTCGGCCATGGAAACCCATTCCATGAAGCTCTCTACACACTGTTGTTGTGCTAATCTGAAGGACACACTAAGTTTGGAGGTCTTTAGCTATTGGCTCTGCAGACAGTTGGTGACTTCTGCGCACTGTGAGCTTCAGCATGCGCTGACCCCGCTCTGTCATGTGACGTGGCCTACCACTTGGTGGCTGAG